GTCTACCATCGTTGCGTCTTGTTCCTGCCTTCCTACCACCGTTATTAAGATTGTTTCATGACGAAGACATCACACCATCACATTGTTATTAAATGAAGTTACCACGGTTGTGGATAAAATTGTCTTCGAAACCTCTTTTGACAACATCCGGTGAACCATTGTTGAACTATATAACTTATAACAATGTCTTTATCAACAACGAGAAAAAACCATTTTTAAAATCCCTTTTAAATCGTTGTTGAAAGACTTGTTTACAATAATGACTTGCTAGAGGAAGATGCCATGTGAAGACTTGTATACTAGGCTATCACAATAAGTTGTAGAGATGCCAAATACAAACTGTGTATGCACTTCCATATTTGCATATAATTGATTAATGAAAGGAAGCTTTAAGATGCTAGATATGATATGAATTCGAAGATCTAGCCAACATTTAGCTATCTATATGGAAAGGGTGTCATTTGGCACACTAATTCAAAAACATGATTTAAGTTGGTTTAATAAATTTCATTTTAAAATCGTATAATTATAGACTTTGGTTATAAAATAATTGAAGCTTATTCTTTTACTAGAGTTAAATTTCTAGAAAAAATATTTCTTTTGTCGCAATATTGTACCGTTGTAGTTTCCATTGTAATTACAAAAACTAACACTCTCTATTGTTGGTCTTCTCGTGTTGGTCTTCTCGTGAAGTCCTTCTCGTGAAGTCCTTCTCTGTTGCGAAACATCTTGTTCTCATCTCCTCTCCTAATGAATCATTTTGTTATCTTCTCTTTTAAATTTTCATTCTTGCTCGTCACAAACCATCTTTTATTACTAGGATCAAAAAAATAAAAGGAACCAAAATCACTTACTCTCCATCTAACAAAAAAAAAGATAAGAACAAATAAAAAGAAAATGTCAAATAAAATTTATGGTACAAAAGAATTTGGTCCTCCTTTATACAAAAAGAAAAAGTCTTAATCTCAAATCTCAACTTCCTACTTACAACTCTTATGATTCTTACTATCTAATTTGAAAATTTTAAGTGAAATTTAAATCAAACTCAACCTCAAAAAAATTAATTTGCAAGATGAAGGTTGTATTCACAGTGCATGCAAAATTGTATGCTTTGCTAAGAAAGTTGAGGCTATATACAAAGAAAGGTTTCTAAACAATCATGCTACACTATGAACTTATCAAACTTGTGGAGGAAGGAGTCTTTAGGTATTGAAATATGGAAATGTGATTTAGAGAGCGAAATAGTGATAACCATTGATGGAAAGTGCAACATTAGTCATGTGTGCAAAAAAGGAAACAAGGGAGCTATGGTTATGGAAAAGAAGGGTGAGAGGCTTTCACATTATTTCCACAAATGTAATATGAAAAAAGAACAGGGAATGAGAAAGGTCATCCACTGTTCACACTTGGATGTAGGGTATTTAGTAAAAAGTTGATTTAAGAATAAGAATATCTTGGTTTAAATAAAAAAGAAAAGAAAGTTCTGATGATGATAGTTTATAAAAAAAGATGGAGTCATAAAAATAGCTTGTAACCAAAAATCTTACTAAACACTTATGAAAAATCTTTTAAAGTCATGTGAATGAAATTTATATGTTTCTAAAGTAAGAAAAAGGTTGAATGGTAGGTGGAAGACTTTTGTTGTACAAAAACATCATTATCATCTTGGAGACTTTTGAACTTCTCATAAAAAAGTTTTTTTTATGTGATAATTGATAAGAACTTTTAATAATTGATTAAAAGCATTTTTTTAAACTAAGATAATCGATTATCCCAATTAAAGTCATTTTTTCAAAATCTCTTTGAAATAATTGATTATCATAAATAATATAATAAATTATTTTGAATGTTTTATGAAATGAGATTTTTCTCAAATGGGCCAAAAACATGTGTCTTATATAAATTGAGCATAAGTCTGAGTTTCAAAGTGCACGAAGAGTTCAAATTAGATATTATTTTGAATAAGTTTTGGTTTAACCTAGTTTTCAAGTAATGACTTTTAAGTTTCTTTAAGAGTATTATTGTATGGTAAGGTGTTGTTGCTGCTAGTGTAAGCTTGTTTCATCCTTTAAGATTTGTTAAAAAATGCGTTTTTCATCTTTTGTGATTTCAAGAGAGGTGTTTTTCATTTCTTGTGTTTTAATAAAGATATTTCTCCTATCTTGTGTTTTAGATATAGGTGTTTTTTATTTATTGTGGTTTGTCATCTCTTATGGTCTTAAGAGAGATGTTTTGACATTCTTTATAGGTTTTTGCAAAGGAAGTGTATTTGTTTATTATTTTAACTGTGATTTTGCATGTTTCACTTTGTAATTATAGTTGTAATATTATTTATAAGATAGTAATTTGTAATCATTTTCTTTGATATGATTAACTAGATGTAAGACCTTTGTTGGTTTGAATCATTATAAAAATTTCATGTTACTTTTCCTATTTCTTATTCTCTTTATTTTGTTATAGTTTGCAAGTTAATCTTTTCTACTAACTGAAAAAGTTATAATATCCTAATATTTGCAATCAAGGCTTAAAATAAATGTTAAGGTTTATTAAAATTATTTTTTGAAAAGCCAAAAAAGTTTTAAAAATTAAATCTTTAAACTTGAAATCAATTTTCCCCTTTTAATTTTGTTCTTCCTCACTTTTTGTTCTAACACAAAAGGATTGAAAAGAAAAAAGTGACGAGACGTGTGAAAGAAAGAGGTGAAGAAAATATGGAATACAGTATTAGTATTTTATCCCATTACTCCTATATACAACTTGAAACTTATGTACCTGTGCGTGAGAGCATTTACCAGGAAATGATTATGTTTAGAACAATATTCAACAAATTTAACAAGGTTTAATAGCCAATTTAGTCCTCACTTTGGTTGAAAAATCTCAATTTAGTCCCTCGTTATAAAAGTGTTTTGAATTAGTCCTAACTTTTAAAATAGTGGGTCAGATTGGTCCTTTCTGTTAAATATAAGTTAACAAAATTAATGGATGATGATGTGACACAACTTAAAGCTAACGAGGGACCAATCTAACACATCAGCTTTAAGCTGTGTCACATCATCATCCATTAATTTCGTTAACTTATATTTAACGAAAGGGACCAATCTGACCCATTATTTTAAAAGTTAGGACTAATGTAAAACACTTTTATAACGAGGGACTAAATTGAGATTTTTCAACCAAAGTGGGGACTAAATTGGGTATTAAACCATTTAACAAAAAGTGATAAAAAGTCTAAATTTAATTTTTCTTTCACATAATTTATTATGATTTTGAAATAATTATACCTAGAGGTATCCAAAAAACATGAAATTTTCTTTCCCAAACATCACATCTTGCTAAGGTTCTCATTCATATCATATCGATAGTGTGGGGTTAGTGTAATATTTATATCTAAGATCATCTCGATTTTCATATAAAATGGTGCATCTAAAACCATATCAACCTTCACATAATAACAATATAACCATACAATGGTGTTCTAAAACCATGGTGGCTAAGTGTTCTGAGATAATCTCGATCCTAACATGACGGTCTAAAGGCTGACATCATGTTAGCTTACAAAGAACGATATCATGTTAGTCTCGTCTTAGTCGAGATCATCTCGACTTAATTATCTTTCATGAACAAAATTAAAGAAAGCTAAACCATTTTTACCAGTATGATTAAGTAATTTAATCACAATAATTATCTCTATAGATCATACTTAATCATGTAAGAGACCTACAAAGCTAATATTTACTATAAATAAAATTGTTTAGGAAGTAATTAATTAGTTATTATTATCGCATTTATTGTTATTTGATTAACTTGAACTTCACTCTGTCTTCTATAGATATATTTCTCCTTTTAACTAGAAGAAACAAGTATTTCAAACATCTCAATTAGAAAATAAAAGATAATTTAGGATGCACTGTAAAATATTTTTCAAGGTATATTTACTGAACTTAAATCAAATATTTCAAATTTCAAATCTCCCGTAAATAATCTTTTTTGGAACTTAACTTTAACAAAATAATTACAAAAATATTTTAATAATTAATTAAATTACATAAATTTCTTTTTCCAATCACATCAACTACAAATTTACACCGATGTTAATTTATTTCATCAGAAAATATAGTTTTCTTTACAAAACAAGAAAATTTATCTAGAGAAACAACATTATATGAAAATTTAAAATTATTCTGTTAAAACTGATGTGGTGACAAAATGCCCAACTACAACCAAGTGCTGAAAACCACGTGTCTACATATGACTTTGAGGTTTGTGAGTCGATAATGACGCGTTTTTTTCGCAATACACGACACGACGACAGAAACATACGGTTAAATCTCTATGATTAGTCAAACAGACAAAGTCTTCCCCTCCAATCTCATCTACAAATTAAACACGGAACAAATACGTCTGAACACCTGGAATTTTTGTCATCGAAAGAACTAGACATATTTTTACAGTTACTTAAAATTATGTATATTGAATTATTTACAGTTTTAATATAAATATTTTTTTGTCACATGATTTTTTATTTAAGTTTTTACCACGTGTTTATAGCATTTTTTATATATCATACTATCACGTGAGAAAATAATAATAATACTAATTCAAAAGAATATTTCAAATGGTATTCAATTATATTTGTAACTTCACTTTTTCAGACAAATTTTATAATAGAAGAGAAATGAGAATAAATAAATGTTATAATAAAAAAAAGAGTGAAAAATATGAAATAAAAATAACACTATTATATTACATTTGTGTAAAATTCGACAATGAAAACCCTACAAATAAAGGCGGAGAAAAAAAAGGCTGAGCCACCCAACTGCCGGATTAGGATTCAGCCAATGGCTTTTCTACACATATGTGTAGTTAATGCATAAATGGAAATGCTATGAATTCTCTGTTCGATAATCGTAACAAAATATCTTGAAATTCAGGTAAATTCTTTTATTCATTACTATTCTTAAATTAGAATTTCAATTCCATCTTTTCATAATTGACAGATCAAGTAAAATATGACATGATTCAATACAAAGAGGTAAATCTGAGTTGTTTGTGTATGCGTTTTGTTTTTACACCTAATGCAGGAAGTTTGGAAGGTAGTAAACTGAGGAAATTTATTCAATAAAATTACTCCTAATAACAATTTATAGTAGTCATAACAATAACTTCATAAAGCAGAAGGCAGAGAACTCTGAAACAGTGTAAAATCTCTGACTCTCACTCTACAAGTCTCATAATTCTAACATCGATTGGATGGGTCCCTTGTATGTGTTAGGTCTGTTATTTTCATGCTGTCAAACTTTGATTCTTCATTTAGAAGCTCATAGAAGTTCAGCTTCTGGTTGGTGGTGAAGAGCACCTTTCCAATTATGGCAATCTGATTGTTCATCTTCTTCTGTGTCCATGCTGTTGCGTCCAGACCCTCCTAAGAAAAGAGGACCTTGTGGAGAGCCAGATTGTGATAAGTTCCCTTTTGATTTATTATTATCTCCATGTTTATCCTTTACCATAAGGCATAACCCACCATTAGCTACCTCAACCGAACAAACTTGAGGTCTTCTAAAATGAAGTCTGTACTTCTGATTCAACCACAATTCACAAAATTAACTTAGGCTCAAAAACATGTTAGTAATTAGAGAAAACAATTTGATTCATTAACATACACTGACACTGACAAAAGTTTATCAGACATAATCTAAATAAAACACTCACCTGCAAATGGCTTTTCACTTCATCATTTGTGAGGCCTACCACCTGCATCAGTTCTCTGATCTGCTTTGGAGTGGCCACTACAGTAAGCAAACCAATCATAGAGATAAGACTAACTTTTCTCAATTCCTGATGGAAGATTCTGAATTCAATAGAGAAATAAAAAAGAAAAAAAAAATCATCCACCATTGATTATGCAGATAAGGTCAAGAATTTGTGAGCCCACCCTAATTTGCAAAAGAAGGAATCATTCACTCTAACAAACCTTCTCCCTCTTAATTATGCTTAAATGCTAACTTTAATCTACCTTGTGGTCCCCCTAATTGTTGAAGGGCATCGACGAATCGCCTATGAAGTTCTGGTGACCAGCATCGCCTTTGTTTCCTCGGATTCTGCTGAGGTTGTGCTTGACCCTTTATCTCTAATGAGCTTGTTGTCATCAAGGACGACCCATGTTCATTACTACTTTCCGCTTTTCTATCATTCGATTCAAACACTGGTCTCATCAAACCATGGCTAGGAGCCTGTGACACCCTCTTGTCTTCACTCATCACTGTTTTTAAGACACAATTGTTTCCATTTAATGCTGCTGCTGCTCCTCTACTCTTGTTGGTCTCATTCTGTGGTTGATTTGGATTGTGGGGGACACATCGATCGTCCTCTTCAGTCCTCTGTACGTTACCAAATAAAAATAATTAAACTTTTGTTCTTAATTCTGTAGAAACTGCTATAAAATACAATCCTTTTACCTGAAAAACTATAGTATAGGATAACTACGGTCTAAAAGCTATCATAGCATAGGATAGGATAACACAGCATCTCAATCTTCAAAACGTAATTGAATATTATGAATGCCTTTATAAACAAAAAATCTTAATCGTATATCATGCGGTAATTGATTGTGACCATGAACATGTGAAATATATAATGATTTCTGAAATAAAAATTTACCGGTTTGGATTCAACGTTCCATAGCCGAACAGAGTTCATCCAATTCTTCATGTTACTGCGTTCCTTACCCATGTTTAAAGTCTCACTTCCTTCAGATTTGGTTTTCAAAAGTGGCATATATTCTTCAACCACGGGTGCTTCTTGCATTCTCACACCTCCGTTTATCTCCTCTTTTAATTTAGTAACAGCTTCACGCAGATTGCAGACCCCCAAAGAATATATTAATCATCAACACACCAAAACATGCGCAATAATCACATAAAAAATGTTAACTTGGAAAATTCTATATAAAAGGACAAGTTCTTAACCCACCATCGTTCACGAGGACCATGCAAAGAGGAAGTTCACGTTTGAAAGACTCGATCTTTCTCTTCTCATCTTCCAACTTTAGGAGAAAATCCTCAAGCGTGGCCATTCTCTGAGACCCACCTTCGTTCTGAGCAACCTCGCCAAGAATCTGACGAACGGTTCTTCCGGGGACAAAGGCCAAGCTCAAATCCAAGCTCAGTTCCATCTTGGGGAGTAGGTAGAAAACAAAGAAAAATGTTAACTAATTTCACAGTTTCAGCGTGGCGTGGCGTGCTGAAGCTTCAGGTGCCAGACCATTGTTATTACAAAGGGAGAGGGAGAAGGGGATAGAGATTCATTTATTTATATTATCGTGATTCCGGACAGAAAGATTCAGTGATCGCATTCGTGTCGTCGCGTAACCCCATTAGTGTAAATGTGTAATGTGACTCAAAACAAAGCCCAACGGTTGTTAATAATTTGCGAACAATAATTTTTTTTTTTTTTTTTTGGAAAAGAATAACAAGAAAAACAAATGGTGTGGTTGAGATGAGAATCTTTTGATTCCACAATATCACGGCTTATGCAATATGGTTGTGTTACATCAATTGGTTGGATGAAATTAAATAGTTTTGAATGGGTGTGGTTTCTGGGTGATTCTTTTCTTACTATAGGCTTGTAACCTATATGTATAAGTTGAGCAAACGTTTGACCCACATGTAGAATGCCGTTGAATAATAGTCGAGCCAAAGTTTTTAAATATTTCTTTTTTACATTTTTTATAATTTATGTGTCTTTAATTCAAAGCTCTAATTTCATGTATTGTTTATATAGTAGTATAATAACACTTTGTATTATCACCGTCAAGTTGAATTTCGTGAGAAAGTGTTTGAAAAACGCATCACGCAACTTTCTCTCTCGTGTTTGGCATGTTATTTTCCTTCCCGCTGTTCTTTTAACTATATGTTTTTGGAATACTTCGAGAACCGACCACGGTTTTTTTCTTTCACCCGGTCTTGTATTTGATGAGAAATGTTAGCAAGGGATTTTTAATTATGACTTTGTCTTCATCTTATAATAATACCTATAAAATATTATTATGAAATTTAATGAGAATGACTGTGTAACAATATTTATGTAAATAGTGAATTTTAATTGAATTTATTACTTGTGCAAAATTGTAGAAGGAAGATAGGCCCTCAACGACATATTTGGTGAAACCATCCTTGTAGAAAATGCAAGGTGAACCATAACCATCGTCGTAGGTAAAAAATAATGATGAGTGCGGAAAGAAGTACTGAAGTAGATAGATCTGCCTATGATTTCAACTACGGGTATTCTCATAATTTTCGTTTATCAAATTTATTTCATATTTTCAATAAGATTGCATTGCAACATTGTATTATAGGTTAAGTGCACACTTTTGAGTATCATATTTTAATCTCAAATTGAATTTCGATTAAATCCACATATTAAAAGAAGGACAATTTTGAAAAAGTTTTCTATAAAACATTTTGTAGTCTACTTTGTCTAATTTGACATTACGACCTTTTCTAAGCAAATGTATTTTGTTAGACCAAGTCAAGGATTTTGATTAATTTAAATAATTAGAATTTTCACTTTCTTTTACACTTATTTAAATCATTCATAACATTTTATTTTCATACCACTAATGATGATTTTTCAAAGAAAAATGATTAGAAATACGCCATGTCAATAAGATATGAATGTAATCTACACATAAATAATGGATATTATCCTAACTTAAACTTTCAAATAATAAATTTATATGTCATATGATACTTTATTTTTTATTTTTATTTAATATGAGACTTAAATTCATTTAGATTTTCAACAAAATGAGATACATCAATACATAAATAATTTAAGAAATCATGTAATAGTTAGTAACATTGGGTAAATACAAGAGAGGTAAAATAAATTCAAACTTGGAATGTAACATCCGATGATTCTAAGTTTGCTAAGCAATGAAAGAAATGTAACCTTTAGCATTTGATAGCGATGGAGTCCTGCTGCTAATGATCGACACTTAAACTTATGAAAATCTATACAAATGTTGAAAGTTCATTAATCTTATATAACAACATTGAGATGATTGGATGATGGCAAAAATCATGTTATCCCACCTCACTAAGTGATATCTGCTTAAACCCAAAGGTTTGAATTTTCTTTCCCTCATTCAAGGGTAAGATATGATAGTATTCCAAATGTAAAAATGCTTCATAAATAAATAAATAATGAACCTCTATGCCTAATGATATGATTATTCTCTCTGCACTGATATGATTATTCTATCTTCGCCTAATCGACATTATATAATTTTATAAGAATTAAATATATTTTTAATTCTTAAATTTAAATATAAAATTAAAATTTATTTTTATATTCAAGTTTGGTCGTCAAACTTTAATAATAAATATATTTTTTAATTTAATTATATAATAAAAATACGTATTAAACAATATTTCGTATTAATATTTGAATTATTTATATTTAATTCATCAATTATTTGATCAAATGCAATCCAGGATTGTTTAATATATAAAAAATAAGTTGTATAGTTAAGTTAAAAAAGATTATATCTATTATTATTATTTTAACTTTAAGTTTGAAAATTAAAATATATTAAAATTTTGAATATGAGTAAATTTTAATTTCACATCCTTATTTAAAAAATAAAATCTATATTTAATTTTTTTTATAATAATTGACATATAATATAATTAGATCTATGAATTTAGTCTTACCTTAAAGTCTTACAAAAAAAATCCATTTTTTAATTTTTAAAATAAAAAACACTGTACAAATATTCAGGGATGACAAAAAAATCTGCTCGGTATTTGCGGATAAAATCCGCGACGGATAATTAGTACCTACGTATATTTATTACTCGCGGGTAACGGGTAGCGAATATTTCAACACCCGTTTCTAAACAGGTCAGGTGCAGGTATTAAACTATCAATCCCGGGGTACCTACTACCCGTAAAAAAATATTAATTTTTTTAAATTGAATTTAATTAAAAATAAAATTAATTTATATTTTATTATGTTAAATTTAATTAAAATTAAATTTTAATTTATATTTAGTTTATTTTATATTATATTATATATATTTTTTGTAATTTTATTTAAATTTTATTTAAAAATGTATAAAATATATATTTTTAATTTTTTGCGAGTATACGAGGATACCGACGGATATTTTCTAAACGGATACCCATGTGGGTAGCAGACAGATTGCGAATCAATTTTTTTTATGGGTCTGGTTGTGGGTAGGCATTATCTGTGTCTGACCCATTGTCATCCCTACTAATATCTTATATGAAATACTAATTAATATTTAATCTTTCTATATATTATATTCTTGGAAAGAATCCAACAATATTTATTTTCACCTAATTTGTTGTTATTTATGAAAAAAAACACTTTCTACTCTTTGTAAAAAATATTTTACTTTTTATATCATGAATTTATAAAGCATATTAAACTTTTTATACTTTTTGTCAATAATTTAGAAGTGTTAGAGTAATAGATAAAAAAGTTACATTTGTTCTAAAGAAAGTTTCGAGAATATATAAATTAAAACATTATAAAAAATTAAGTGATTTGGTTATTTATAACAGTTGTTGGTTAACTCCTCTTACGTGCCTTTATAATTTTGATTTATCTTGAATTAATGAGCTGATCACTGATTGGTGCGTAATTAAAAATGAGTTGCAAAAGATATTACATCGATGGAAGAACCTAGTCCCTCAAATTCGAAGTGGAAAGTAATAAGAAGGATGGAATATTAAAATATTAGAATGGAATATGAATATGTAAAGCAACAACAAATGGAGGGATCCGTATGGTTATCTTAGACTCATATTCTAAAGTAATTTTCCAATAAGGTTAAAACGAGAGCGTGACCAGCTTCTTTTGACGTTGTACATTTTGTTCTGTTGGGAACCCATAACCCATTCATTCTGGTGGTCCTTCTTCAACCAGCGTATTTGTTTTTTTTTTCAAATAAAATATAAGATTCCTGCAATTGCTCCAAGAAAAATCCTGTCGCTTGAATGCCATAACAACACGTGGCTAGTGAGACCTCGTGTAAACGGTGGGATTCTTCTATGCTTCTGGGTCCCTTGTTGCTACCGCTACCACCGAATCCCGTCTTCCAGAATTTATTTCTCTGTTTCAATGATGAAACCAAACACTTCACAAAGAAACACTCTCTTTTCTTTGTAACGCGACTAGCAAACCACTCCACTTGTTGGATTCTATTCCTCCTTTTGTTTTTTTATGTTGTTTGTCATTCCACAAAAAATAGTGGATCAAAAGTTTGTTTGTTAAAGCAGAAAAATAAATAAATAAAACCAACAGATTCCTTCGTGTCTAAGAGTTAAATTTTACTCCTCGTTATTAAATAACTTATCATATTTATTATTATTATTTTAATTATTATATTTGGTCGAAAGTTAATATTAATTAAAAATAAAACTAATTTTAAATATATACATATAAATATATAAATCTTATCTTATAAGTCAGATGTTTGAATTAAATTTAAAATTTATGTTTCAAAAGTGTAATATGTATATATTTTATTGTGAGAAAATAAATTAAAGTTTAATATCAATTAGAAATAAGTCTAATTTAGAATATATATATTATAAATTTGATTTTATAAATTAATTTTATGAAATTAAATTAGATTTAAAGTTTATTTTTTAATATAATTATTAAATTTTGAGTAATTGTTATAAAATTTGGAAATAGAAGAAAGGTTATTTTTAATAATGATACAATATATTATAATATAAAAGTATTTCGAATTATTAACAAATTTAAATATATATTACATTTAATTTTGGAGAGAGGTTCAAAATAAAAAGCAGAATAGTTTAATCAGCTAAGTTATTCCTACGGCACTTTTTTTTGTTACCAGAATAACATAAGCTTCTTGTCTTGCTCAAATATAAGTTGTTTGGTCATGTATGTATATCAAGCTTTGAGGATGATGTACCATTAATTATGTTCACTGTCTGAAAATTTGTATTGTTCCAGAGTCATACATGAATCGTCTGAGGCTCTTTAACCTATTACATTAAGTGGTGCTATATAATCTAATAATAATTTATCATGAAGACAACTTGTACACTTTCAATTCAAAGGTTGCACAATTAGAAACATAGTTTGGGTTGTTAAAATATGAGTTTAACTTCCATGAAATGTAATATAAAAAAGTATTCATTCAGTCAATTACAAGAATTATTGGAAATATTTATAAAGTTATTATTATAAAGGTTAATAGATTTTTTATGATAAAATAAAAAATTTAAAAGTTTCTACATTTTCAGCTATATAACTATTTTTCTATTAAAACTACAAAAAATATATTCACATTTGCATATTTAAAACTCATCTTAAATATTTTCTTTACACATAAGGTGGAGGAATATTAATCAAGATATAGTGAGATAGACATATTTAGCCTTCTTTCTAAAATAAAATAAAAAATTGTTCAATATGTATTGAATGATAAAATATTTTATATTTTTCA